GTAAAGAAAAATCCAGGAAAAGTTTACCTGGTTACAATGTAAGCCTATCGTTCTAGGGAATCTGGGGACAAATTCCGCCGGAATGAAAAATTTCAGAAATTTTCCGGGGTTGATCCATTCCAGATAAGTCGCGCCCCGTTGGTCGAACCACGATGGGCTTGATAAAAATTGACCACAGTGAGTAAAGAGTCAAAAATGAAAAAAAAATTACAGTAGACCCCTTATAAAACGGGGTCATATAATATGGATTTGTATATAACGGCGAAAAAATTGCGATCGTATTCGTATAAACACGCTAAAAGAGACTCGTATGATACGGTAAAACGTCATCGCCGACTCGTGTCGCGACAGGATTGGTCGAATCTAGACCAATAGCGGATATTGCAAAACCGTTGAGTTTAAACGAGCAGCGGACCTACTAAAAACCATTTATTATTTAACGGCCATAAAAATTATATTTATATTAATGATGTCTCCAAAGTTCAGCAAATTTTTCGCAGAAAAATAATTTATCAGGAAACACGCGCCTGCCGTTCGATGCGCCGCTCCACGACGAAAACAAGCGTAAGCAATGGCGTCGTCGAACGGTGCACACGCTGTAAGTAATCCTACAATTTTTGTTTATAGCATAGTTTATATGGATTATTCCCAAAAAATTATACGTGTTTTGGAAATGCTGAGTCAAATTAGTCTAGAATCGATTAATTTTATGGAAGAAAAACCTTTCAAACAGCCATAGTCCGTAAACTGCACACGTGCCGGCCTGTGATTGGCTCATGTATTTAAGGACTCGTACAATATGAATTTCATAAAACACGAAACGTATCTACCGTATTATAGGGGGAGTCTACTATATATATGTATATACAGTACATATATACAGTACATATATGACGATTATTGATAACCAAGGAACCAAATTTTAACTATCGAATACTTTTGATAATACTGTATTGAAGATTCGGCATCCGATAACATCGGAAAGCTTATGTTGCATATTCGAAGTCGTATCATGCGTAAATTTATTAGATGCAGGGCCGGTCCGAGTTAGTGTGCAGGGCATACTAAGCAGTCACCTAAGGCACAAAAATTTACGCCCCTAAATTTTTGTGCCTTAGGTGACTGCTTAGTATGCCCTGCACACTAATTACAGCCAGAACCAGTTAAAGCGAAATGTTTATCAGTTATTTTAATTAGATTTATTATGTAAACATTCAGAACTATCGCATGTAGGTGCACAGGTTATTCAATGCACAAGGCGTCTAGTAGTAAGACAGGAGGGTGTTAAGATTGAAATCTGCCTAATGCACCAAAAACTCTTGAGCTGGCCCTAATTGAATGTTAATCTCTTAAGCGTTTACATGTAATGTAAGCTTTCTATTGCAATTTGATACCGAAGATTTGCATACCGGTGTTAAGACTTAATCCCCAGAAATGTCTTTAATGAAACAAGATTGAGGTAAAATTACGAATTGCCTGTTGTATAAAGATAGAAGTAAATCGAATCTAAATATGTAATTATGTTCGAAAATTTTCATAGTTTGGTCGCAATTTACAACCACTTTATAAACAAATTTTGTAAGCAAATATTTTTAAAAATTTCAGACCGAATTTCTATCAATTATTCGACAAAACGACGTACAGAATGTGAAATATCAAAAGGGTGTTTAATGGAAAGAAAAGTTCAAGATATTAATAATGAAGAAATAGAAGAAATAAGTCACACGATTTCAAAACCAGAACTATCATTTGAGAGGATACAACGTTCTTCTCCCTGTACATTTAATTTATTGGAATGCTGTGCTCGTTATCCGAAATCATACAATGAAACTTATAGAAGAATTAATTTTTATCTCGAAAAGCTGCGCTATAAATTAACTCTTTACAAAATTTCCAGCGATTCTTACGTTCGGAATTTCTTACTAAATTCTAAATATTCAAAAGATATTTGGAAAATTTCTTTCGAAAGCGAACCTCCCAAGAAACATAATTGTTTTTGTAATTCAAAGCTTTTGGATCTTACTAAATAGCAATGATGTAGCTAACTTCTAGTACAATTGTTTAATAAAGCTATAAAATCATGTTATTTCTTTAAAAAAAGTCTAGCAATGAGTTACATAACTTTTCCGGCAAAAATATTTATGTTTATGAGACACGATATAAAATTTAAATAATAACAAAAGCTTAAGAGGAGTAACTTTTGTTAAATTATGAGAAATTTCTTTATTTAAAACAGTATTTATATTTAAGAAACACTAACAAGTAAGACACATTATGACGAAGTCAGTGGCGTAGCGTGGGTGTCAACCGCCCGGAGCAAAGGAAAATTTCGCCGCCCCCTTATTTAGGTATCTCAATTTAAAAAACTAAAATTCAGTTTCGTCACAGAATAAGTAATGAAAAATTCCGTGCTAGTGTTGCACCTTTTTAAAATCGCTGACCCGGACTGCAGGTGAGATGTTCGAACAGAAGTTCCTGACGCATGCGTATGTCATTTTGCAATACGAAGAATAATGTGCAGTGCAGGCCGGTTCAGTTAGCGATTAGGGAGAATTGGGCAGGAGTAACATAAGTAACCTAGATGACAGCTGTATTGGACATTGGAGGTGTATATGAATACGAGTGATTTGCACAAGCAAAAAGAAAAAAAAAAGTTAGGTTGTGCACGAAATCCCGGACTGTCCGGATGATGACACTTTTCGTGCTCATTTCAATCAGTCCGAATCGCAGGTGCGACGAAAATATGTGATGAAATGGTTCAAGTTTTTACAAAATATTATTATTATTTATTGTGAAATTTTTCCGCCCCCTAAAAAGTAATTTTTCCGCCTCCTAAAACGTAATTTTGCCGCCCCCTAAAAAGTGCCGCCCGGGGCGGGCCGCCCCTGCCTCCCCACTACGCTACGCCACTGCACGAAGTTAAAGTTGTATATAACGCCGTCTGTTATGAGATACAGTAATACCCCGACTTACGCTACCCCGACTTACGCGAACCCGGAGTTACGCGATTTTCAAATCTCGTCGATTCGTCTTTTGTTTGAGCGCCACGCAACCCTTGATTACTCACTCCCCCCACACTATTGTTCAGCTTACATGTTCGGATGTATCGCGCGGAATCCACACATAGCTACAATTTATTTTGTGTTATTTATTTCTGTGTTTGTTATATCTACGGAGACTTGAGAGACTCTACTATGTCATCCAAACGAAGTAGAACTAATTCTTCTGCATCAAACAAGAAAAGAAAAACTTTATCTTTGGAATGTAAAGTTAACATTGGGTATGTTCGTAAAGTCGAACGAGTTAAACGAGAATGACGTCATCGTTATTCCTATTTCGTTAGACTTTTCGAACGATTCGTTACTAACGCGTTTAACTCGTTTGACTTTACGAACGTACCCATTATTAAAGACTTCGATACAAAAATGAAAATTTGTGAATTGGCAAAGAAGTTTGATCTACCGGAATTGTCGGTCAGAACAATTATAAAAGGCAAAGAAAAAATTCTCGAAGCTGTGAAAAATGCTCAATCTTTAAATTCAAGCATCATTCGTAAACGTCACAGTATTATCGCTGAGATGGAAACAATGTTAAAATTATGGCGTAATAATCAAGTAAATGTGAAAAATTGTAAAATAATATAGGCCTAATTTGTTATACATATGTATTATCTAAGATTTTATTAAACATTTTTTTCTAAATTATTGTTTTCTTTAGTCTCCGGCCCCAATTAAAAATTATTTGTATGTATTTATATGCGAAATTATACCCCGACTTACGCGAATTCGACTTACGCGGTTACCGCTCTGTCCCACCTATCGCGTAAGTTCGGGCTATTACTGTACTCTACTGCAACGATCAATGACACTGGCAAGAGCGCTGGACTCAAAGTACAGTCGACCCTCCCGTGCCGGGCTGTGAACGGCTCACGTATTTGTAAAATCTAAGTGACTCGTACAACATGGAATTCATATAAAACGGAATAATCAACAGTGTTATAGGGGGGTCGACTGTACAGTAAGTAGGTCAACCTATGCCTTCGTGCCTGAAGTTTGCCGAACTCCAGTAAGTTGTGATTGGAACATAACGCAAATACTAACCGGACACGAGAGGTTACACCATTTCAAGTCCAAGTTTGGATAAGGAGATGGTTGCTGTTCTGTGGGTGCCATCGCGGTGATGCGAGGCACTATGTACTTGACTGTCTTCTTACAGAGCGTCGAGGGGCTGATCGGGTCGACTGGTCAATGCCTTCCGAACAAGTACTTCGAACGCTTGCAGCAAGTAAAGGAAACCTACTGAAACTAAAGGAATTTAAAGGAATTGATGAGGAAAGTAATAGATTTCTTTGATCTATAAGCTCAGTGGACGCTTTTCTAGGGGAGGGGACCCCGCTGACTATTTATAAGAGCTGGCCTCTCATTGGTAGAGTACTCTAAGGCAGTACAGGCTGCACATAAAACTGTATGGCATTGTAAGAGGGTTGAACTTGAGAGCAAGAAGACAAAGAAGGCGGGTTGGTTCCCTCTTGGATTGTATCGCCAGAGTATTATATCGGGTTTGACCTTTTAAGTCCAGGCACCTCGGTGGTTACGGGATGATTAAAGTACAGTGACTACAGTCCTAAGTAAATTTCCTCTGCTCCGCCAAATAGCACTACTCTTACTTAGAGTTGTGATATGAGGACCACTCCACAAAAAATTCCTGGGAATTTTTCGACCCGTCCGGATTCCCCAGAGAAGTAGGCTGCCACCTTAACCGCTCGGCCGTCCGGCCACCTTCATTAAGTACTGTAATTAAATTGCTTCTAAAAGCTATTTCGAAAATAAAGTAATTTAAACAATCTTTTATGACGTATAAATTTCCTTACGTCATTATAAATAAATAATTCTTCTAAATTATTCTTCATGCAATTCAATTGTGTAATGATTATCGCATAGGCATTATACGATAAGGTAAATATACAGGCTGAAAGAAAAGAAAAGAAAGGGGGAGAAAAACTATATATTTCCGTTAGATGGCAGCACCGAACGTAAACAAACGTGTAGTTTCGTCCGGGTGTTTTCAAGACATTTATCATAGATTAAAGTAATGCTGAATATTTATCAGGGATTTATGAAATATTAGGAATTCTGATAGAAATTTATGCGTATTGATTAAGGTAATTGACTATTTTATATGATAATGCTTTTATAATTTAAAGACTTGAAAATAATATCGGGTTAGAGTCCAGATACGTATACCGTCATGCGGCTCATCTCTGATTCCAGCAAACAAAAGAAAGGAAACAGTGGGGACGCACGTTCTAACCTAACCTAACCTATTGTAATACGTTACCATAATTATTACCAACCAAATTATTAGAATAGGTTAGGTTAGGTTAGAACGTGCGTCTCCACTGTTTCCTTTTGTTTGCTGGAATCAGAGATGAGCCGCCATGACGATATACGTATCTGGACTTTAACTTAATATTGTTTCTATTTAAAATTTAGATTTCAATAATGTTAAAATCAAATTGGGGAGATCTTCCAATGATACCAGACACGGAATCTGGCATCGCTGCTATTGAAAGAGAACAAATAACAAAACCAAGGCCTGTTCAGGTAGAAGGATCAAAGCTACATCATCCTTCAAGAAATGAACCTGTTATGTCTCATTCGTAAGTTTATAAAATAAATTTCAATTAAGAAATGTATTTATAAATTGAGTTTTATTCAATTTTATGATTACACAATGTTAGCAAGAGGAAGTCGTAATGTGGAATTGCATTTACTGTGTATTTTGTAGAATAGAATAAATGCACAGTCATTTTATCTGAATTATATGTTAAAAAATGTGGAGAACTGTTTTTGTATATATGTTTAGCAATTAAACTATTGAACTCCCATTAAAACAATCTGGATTTGAATTTTTAAAAGCAGTGGAGCATCAAAAATCCAGAATAATTGAGACCAGAGCACATTTGAGTTTTCAAATATAAATGCAAATTAGCATTTTAAATTTTGTAAATTCTTGTAATATTGTAATTCAAGTTTGGGTGTTCTGGAATCAAGCCATTATTTCATAAGGAATTTAGAGATTCAGTTTCATCAGTGGCCATCATCATCTGCAGTAATACAGTAGAGCCTCGAAAACTCGGCACTCAATAACCCGGCACTCCGGATAACTCGGCCACACCCTGGCAGGGCAAAAAAATCCTTAGTTAATTAATTTTCGTTACAGACAGCTTTATAAAAGTATAAAAGCTCTCATAAAGTATTTTTCTGAGGTCTGTCTTATCAGGTAAATTACTGTACACAGTGTATTTATTAATTTTCATTTTCATGTAGTAAAGGCTCTATGCCTTCATAAAGGATGTACTTTTCCTTTGTTTAAGGGTATTTGGGCAGTTTATTCTCTTTTGTATTCTCAAGCAAACAATACATACAAGTACAGTACAATATTTTCTGAGGAAACACGCATACTTATCCTTTTTTAACCCCATTCCCGATAACCCAGCATTTTCACAAACTCGGCCACCCTTCGGTCCACATTAGGCCAAGTTTTCGAGGCTCTACTGTAACAGATTTATTATACCAGGATAAGAATTATCACTTGATTAGGAAATCATCAACATTTATTGATTCATTTTATATGGGGAATGCATTTTGGACCATTTTGTCCCTCATAAGCCCATCCCGTATACAAGTTATATATTGTCAATAATCATACGTCATTTTAGACAAATGAATATACATAGATAAGAATTCCACTTATATTTTTTGACAGTGACTACTTTATCTGTTTCTTTACATATACAACAACAAATGTTAAAACATAATTAAAACATAATTTAATTAATTTAGAAATGGAAAAAATCAAAATTTCTTCATATAGAAGTATTTTTGAAAAAGAAATACAGTGGAAACTCTTAAGTTGACACTTCTATATTGTTTCTAAAATGATCATTCCAAAGTCCAAAATTTGTCTCAAAGAAATACACAGAGTTGAACTCTAGATGTTGACCATCTTTATAACTTGTATTTTGACCAATCTCAACCTAATCATGCCATAGAATATAATCTCTGTATGTTGACCAAATGCATACACTTTTGTTTCTATAATTGGAACTGTCTTGCAAATGAAAAAGTTTTAAATTTATAGTAAACATTGCTCTTATTATTGTAAAGAATTTGTTTACAGTTTATCAATAAAATTTTGCCTATTACATTTTATGACAAATAATTATCCTCAATTCTGTGTTTCAATTTCCTATTTTTTCCTTGTTTTGCAACATTAAATGTAAGAATTAACCCAAGGTTTTCACTTTTTCCAAACTAAGGACCCTTAATGTTTTGATGTCTAGAATTTTGACGTTTTCAGAAGCCAGAGATTATAGATTATACAGACCTATTTGGGAGAAAGAAAACAAGTCAGATTTCACAATTTGTGATTTTCATTAACCTTTAGGAGGTGCATCTTTTAATAATGGCTACATTTTCTGGGTCTCTTGTTTATATTAGATCAGTTGATAGTACAAATTAAGCAACAATAACTCAATAGTTATATCAGAAAATAATGAGAAATGTACCTTTTTAACACTGAAACACTTTGCCTTATCAAAATGTTCTGAAATGTTAGCAAGCAATATCTGCAGAAAATAAATTCAATGTTTATGTTTTAAGAAAAGCTGAAAAGACACTTTGATTCTTTCTTCAGCACTACTCTAACTTAAATGTTTTCCAGTATTCTAATTGCTTAATATGTTTTCTATTTTCATAATTTTTTTGAACAGATATAAACTATATACTCACAGAGTATTTTGTTATACAAATATTCATATTCTGAGCATTTAATTTGTGATATGATGTATATCTAAGTGTTTAATATCCCATTCTGTAATGTTTTCAATACATATATAATGAGAGAAATGTTGTAGTGAGATACCTTGTGAGTAAATTTAATTATGTATGTCGTAAGGTCTTTTAGTTGTTATTTCTGACTGCCTGTTTACATCAAGCTAATTTATAGTTTTTGCATCTATATGTTTTATCCCTAAATTAAATGTAAGATTGGTTGATATGTTTAAGAGATAAGTTTACATTATACCATTAGTTCCCTCTCTACCTTTAAAAAGATTCATATTTAGGGATGGGCCCCCTTGCACTGTTTTAGAAAAATTTAGTATTACACTATCCCTATTTCCATTCTGCCCATGTGTCTTGCTATAATTATATAGGTGCTATTTCTAGGCAGCTAAAGACTTGTTTATGTGAACATTACATCAATAAAGGGCTTAAACATACAGAACTAGAAAAATATGTCATAGACAAAGGTTATTCTCCACATTGGAAAGACATTAAGTTAATTCTGTATGACTTTTAACAAATATTCATTTGTGAGATATTAATCATTAAGCAATTCAAATCCATATATTAATAATTAATTTATCTGCCATATATCCACCAGATTATTTTATACAATTTACTGATTAATAATTTAAGTTAAATCAAATGTTCAATCTTGTATGTGTTATTGGGTATTTTGTTATTAATTTTAATAATTACATAATATATAGTCATGTTGAAATATGCATTTGATATAATTCAATTTACTTGTCTTAAAAATTTTAGTTTAATTTCATTTATGTAATTTAATTTATGCTCTAAAAAGAATCGTTCGTGATGATAGTTTATAATTGCTAAAAAATTTGAAATTTTTAATATTATTAAAGGACATGTAAAATTAACACCAGAAATTGAATATATTATAAAAATTGTAAAGTTAATAAACAATAAAATAAAAACTAAAAAAAAATCATAAAAACATATTTGATGTATCTATTGGAAATGAACAATAAACAAAATAATTTATCAAATGCAGCAGTTATATTCTCTGAATTTATACAACTAATTGAATTAAAAATCAATAAATTTTTATTGATATGTGATAATTCTCCATCTTATTTTTCATATTAGTTCCTGTTTAATACACGGTAACATTAATTTTAAAAACTATATGCAGTGTGGCTGTAATTTACAAGCTTAACTCATTCTTGAAAATCTCTCGCAAATTAAAATCTTATAACTAGAAATGAGCTTTTCCATTATTTCTTATGGTTGAAATTTGTGCCTTATTCTGACAATCCAGTTGGCTGAGGTAGTAAAGGTATCAGTCTGCTGCTCTGGAAGACTTGGGATCAAATCTGGATCAAGAACCATAGGAAATTTTCATTAGTGGTTTGGCCCCATCCCTCATCACCAGATCACCAAATTATGGACCTGAAAAAAGTCTCTCTTTAGTGGGCACAGGATGGAGAGAGTAAAAAAAAAACAGAACCCACATTTTTCAAAAATGTTACAAAACACTTATTTACCTATCAGTCAGTGTTTCTAAATGAAAAATACATTAAATAAAATGAGTGTTGATTAGGTTTGTTCACTGATATAAAAAGAACTAATATAAGATGACAGAAGTAAAGCAGATTTTTAAAATATCAGATATGTTTTTATTTAACAGTAAGAAAAAAAGTTTAGTTAAGATGAGAAGTAAGTAGAAAAAAGTAAAATAAAATTGTAATCATCAGTATAAAGACCTGTAATGTAGAGATAACAGTCACTAAACTGCACAACTAAGTTAAACTCTTCTCAAAGACATAATATGAATGAAAGCAAGAAAATGGAGACTGGAACTTACAAGTCATCTAATTATGCTGCCTAAGAATTTCAATCTCATCACACTTGTGATTAGAATATTATGTTCTCAAATATTGGTCGACGCAAGAGAGATGAAAGAAAACAGTTTTTGTATCAAATTTTTGTATTTTGAGTTCTTGTAAATAGGTAGTCACACTACACAAACATTAAAGAAAAAGTATTTATGTATTGAACAAGAATTGCTTCTAATCAAATCTTTACATTATTTTTTTGGATCTCATGATAAAAATTTTGATGTTTTTATAACAACTTATCTGAAAAAGAAAGCATTAAAAATCTGAAAATAAATTTAAAAAATTTTTCAAATGGATTATTTTTATTTATTGTTAGAGAAATTCATTAGGCACGTAATGATAAAATAAAATAAATTTATTTGTCTAATTTAGTTATCTACTACAGCAGTATTATATCTAAGTTTGATGTTTTGTAAAAATTTGACTTTATAGATTTTATTTATTATTTTCTTTTAGACTTCCAGCAGAATGCAGTTCTATAGATGATTTAACATTACACACAATTAAGTTAATCCAATATAACAAGAAGATAAAATCAATGTTAAATACTTTGCATTCAGATTCTCAGGCAAGTATAAATTTTGATTTAAAAAATTAATTTTTACTTTTCTTCAATTAAATTTTTAAAATTCCAAAACTTAAATAATAAATAGAATATAAATTATAACATTTTGATTGCAATATTTCAAGAGCTACTTTTGCAACGAGCAATTATTATTATTATTTATTTATTTTTTTTTATTACTAAGCCTAAATTTTTTAGTAACTTCAGTCACACAAGGATACATCATTTGAATATGTAAGCTTTTTTATTGTACAGTAATACCCCAACTTACGCTACCCCGACTTACGCGAACCCGGAGTTATGCGATTTTCAAATCTCGTCGATTCGTCTTTTGTTTGAGCGCCACGCAACCCTTGATTACTCACTCCCCCCACACTATTGTTCAGCTTACATGTTCGGATGTATCGTGCGGAATCCACACATAGCTACAATTTATTTTGTGTTATTTATTTCTGTGTTTGTTATATCTACGGAGACTCGAGAGACTCTACTATGTCATCCAAACGAAGTAGAACTAATTCTTCTGCATCAAACAAGAAAAGAAAAACTTTATCTTTGGAATGTAAAGTTAACATTATTAAAGACTTCGATACAAAAATGAAAATTTGTGAATTGGCAAAGAAGTTTGATCTACCGGAATTGTCGGTCAGAACAATTATAAAAGGCAAAGAAAAAATTCTCGAAGCTGTGAAAAATGCTCAATCTTTAAATTCAAGCATCATTCGTAAACGTCACAGTATTATCGCTGAGATGGAAACAATGTTAAAATTATGGCGTAATAATCAAGTAAATGTGAAAAATTGTAAAATAATATAGGCCTAATTTGTTATACATATATATTATCTAAGATTTTATTAAACATTTTTTTCTAAATTATTGTTTTCTTTAGTCTCCGGTCCCAATTAAAAATTATTTGTATGTATTTATATGCGAAATTATACCCCGACTTACGCGGTTACCGCTCGGTCCCACCTATCGCGTAAGTTTGGGGTATTACTGTATTTGGAAATGCATTTCATGTTAATAATTTCCAAATACAATAATAGAGTCTACATGTTTAAATGATGTATCCCTGTGTGATCGAAGTTACTAAAAAGAGACAAAATTTAGCCTTAGTAATCAAAAGAAACTAGTTATAGAAATGTGCAACCAGAGCAATTATTTATTCTGACATCATCACAATGTTCTCAATTTTAAGTAGTGTCTTGCCCCTGTACATCATACTTTTCCTGTTAGAAATAGAGTCGTACCAGTCATCTATCTAATTCAGTTCAGGGGAAAATTTTTGAATTGAAGTAACATGACTTCTGATCCAAACTAAAAAGAAGTTTGTATATAGCTAATCTGGGCCTCCTTCCCTAAGCTTTTCACATCTAGCCTCAACTTTCATTTATCTAACTCCATTCTTAAGATTAAGGACAGACAGGCTACAGTGGGAATTTATAGGTCTACAATTTTTTCAACTTGCAGCCCAATTACAAAATGAATTTTTAAATTTTTTAGTACAGTAATTATTCTTTATTCTACAAATAATCATTTTATTTTTCTTTAAACATTATATTTACATTTTTTACAAAAATTGAATTTCTTAATACATAACATAAAATAATTTATTATAAATTCTATTATTATTATTTTGAATGATAATAATTCATAAACATTTAATCAAGATGTAAAATTTATTTAAATGTTATTCAATTGACTTAAATTACTGTTTAAGATGCTCTTTAGGATGGACTAAAAACTAATAAATTTTGGATTTAACTACAGCCAAGTTAAAATAGAGTTATTTCATCTAAAAGATGGTGTTCAAAGTTACATTGATTCATCTGCAAGAGCAATTTAACATTTTATTATGTTAATAAATATTTCTTTGGTAATATTCATTGACATAATGAAACTTTACTTCAATTAGTAATATATATTATATGAAAAATATTCTCCCAAGGATATAAATTAAAATTAGATTTGACCTTCAGATTATCAAATTTCATATATCTCAGTCATGAGTCATTCTTTGTAAGAATTGTAGCATTGTAATGTTTTTGATTACATACACTGTGTAATATTACAGTCATGAATCTAATACATTTCTGTCATTTGGATGTGATATGAGAATTTTATCACTGCAAAAACTTTAGATATCTAAAGTTTTATATATTTAGATAAATTATCATCATAAGTATTTATTATAATTTGTGATTCAGCTTTGTTAGTCTTTGCTGGTTGAATAAGATGTTTTCTTTTAAGTAATAAAGCATTTTATCCATAATTCCCTCTCTTCAATCTCTAGGTGAGCCAGATAACTTTAGTTCTTTTGAATAAGTGTTATTTATATTCTTTTGATGTTCTTTCTGTTAGATTCTTTTTGATAATCATAAACACTGTTGAAAGACATTTCAAACAGTTTTAAAATTAGTCTGCAAAATATTTGTAATTCTCTTTCTTTTTTCTCTATGAAATTTTGATTTGCCAATAACTAGGCATGTATACTAGGTATTCAGCACTACTCTAATTTTTTTTTTACTTTAAGTTTTTTGTTCAACATTGTGAAGTGTTTTTCAGTTAATTTGAAACTATAGTGAATTCATCCAATTCAATGAATTAAATTTATTCACTAGTTCTACTGCTTCTCATTCCTATTTAAAAAAAAAAATAGAAAGTGGACATTGAAAACAATGTAGTGTCTCTCTTATCCAGTTTGTTAATTGTTCATTTCATCTACTGTATTCACAGCACTGCAGATTTCAGGTTTATAAAGTATTTTTCAAGCTAAATTGAATAAAATATATATTTGGAATTTTTTGTATCATAATTGAATGTTTTCTTGGTGTGGTGTGGTATATATATATATATATATAAACATCTAAACTCGATAGTTATAAAGCTAAATGATAGCCAAAAGCTTGACTCTAATGCCAAATTACTTAGCATTTAATTAATAATAGTATTAATTATATAACTTGCTATAATTTGGCAATCGTTTGACTTTGAATGTTTCCTTCTTAGATTTTATGATCTTGAAATTGTATGGAACAGTCCATCAATATCAAAACAACTTACACACATTCACTAATCTGACTCTACTTAATTCAAACCAGTTTTGTTCATTTTGTCATTAAATGTTTCAGGAAAAACAAAAAGAAATCACAAATTATTTTTTCTTAAAACATGACAGTTTTGTAAAATTAATATGTGAAACACATTTTAACATAAATATATGTGTTCAATACATTATAAAAATTTTAAAAAATATATGTATTTGTCTGTAGTCTTTTTTTTGACTATATATACATAGAAGTATGCTAACCTGAGCTTGTCACTGATTCAAATACATTTTTCTCAAATATTAGCTAAAAATTAGCTTTTTAAAGTTACAAATATTTATAACTTTTATATGAATTCTAAATTTCAACTTTGAAATTCTTTATTCTAATGTTCAATTTTAACTTATTGTTTAGGTTAACGTTCTTTTAAAAATTTTAAATTTAATTAAACTTTATTCTTGTTTAATGCTGCTTTCATAAATGGTGTAAGATGTAGTTACTGTCTACATAGATGATTCCTTATTTATAAGAAAAAAACTGAACTCTAAATGAAAAATACTATCTAATACTTGGTGCACTAAAACTTTATTTTTATACATTTTTGCTGGATGAACATAGGACCAAATAACTATCATAAAATATCATACAGAACACACCAAACAATATGATAAGTAGATGAAAAGAACAAATTTTCATTTAATTTATGGCAACTATTATACAGTTAGTTTTCATAGTATGTTTTTTCTTTGTTAAGCCATTACACAGAACAAATCTTATATATGTTGTATGTTAATTCTGTTGTCTCATATTCATATTTATTTATTTATTTCATTAATTGTAAATTAAATTGCTTTGACTCTGAAATTAATGGTATTGCAGAAGAAATAATGCAACTCATATTGGATTAACTAAAGGGTTAAGCAAAGAATAATGGATGTTGATCCTAATGTTAAACATTCAATGAAAGTGTGCTGAGAAATAGAAATTGTCATTTATTGTTATTGAGTCATGTAACAAGAAAACAAGAAATTTTCTCTTGTTTCATTTCATACTCATATGCATCTTTTAAATGATAATGTTTTAAAACATAAGGATGCACTTAATTTATTATCTCTTCCTTTAAATTACATACATAAATAAATATCTATTGTACTTTTTAATGTTTAAAGTTTTAATAATAATTTTGGAAAATTTTTGGCAGCAATATCCAATTTCCCATATAGTATTCTTGATTATCATTGTTTTAATTGAGATGTTTTTCTTGATGATATTAACTACAGTAACTGAGGTTTCTCTGTATGTATACATACATATGTGCACAAATACGTAAATACATGCATATGTATATTTTTCTATAATTCATAATATATTAAGAATAAAAATAAAATGGAACTATTATTCAAATAGATATTTTCTATCTCATGAAACTAAAAGATGTATTATTTTTTAATTTAAAAGTATTGAAGATGAATTATAAATATAATGTTAATCTTAACAAGAATGCAAAATAAAATATTTTTAGAAGTCTGTGGAAGATGGAAATCATAGTTATCCTGCAGCTCCTCCAATGCCTGAACTTCCAGAATCAGTAATGGTTCATTATATGAAAAGAGAAATTGCAAGTGACAGAGAAAGGTAAGTTGAAAATTTTAAAATATTTAAGATAAATTATAAATGTATTACATATTAACATTAATTAATTATAAAAATTATTAACATGAATTAATTATAAAACTTTGATATTTAAACTATATTTGTTAACTTTAAGTCAAAATTTAACATCTTTCTGTATTATACTAAAATAGGTGCTAGTTTGATTACAAAGGTATTTTTTTAATTTGTTTTGTTGTGTAAAACACTAATATATATAAAGATAAATACTTTTTATGAAAATTTTTCTAAGTATTTTGTAAATTTTAAATAATCTTTCTACTTTTATGTTGAAAACACCATTTATTATTGTATTAATAAATGGTGTTTTATTATTTATTGTGTTATAATGGGTAATTATTTTTACAAAATGTAATTTATATAAATACAATTTTAACTTAATGAAAAAAGTAACGTATTGCAATATATTAGTTTTTTTATAATATAGTAAGGCTAAAAAACTAAAAAACAAACTGAAAATATAATAATTTTTGTAATTTTATTACTCAAACTCATAAAAATTGACGATGTTAATAAAAAAAGTGAGGATACTAGTTTAGTAACATTTTTATATCTGTATCATAATTCAACATTTCATTAAACTGTATGATTGTTTAGAAAAATTTTGCCTAATAATAATAATATCCAATGAGTAATGCAATTATGGAAATTTTAACGTAATGAAAAAACTAATATATTAACAATATATTAAGTTTTTTATAATATAGTAATGATTAAAAAACTAAAAACAAACTGAAAATATAGTAATTTTTATAATTTTATTATAAAAATTTGCTATAGAAATGCATTAAACTTCTATAATTTTTTCAGTGTAAATTAAATAAATATAAGTAGTTAAAATTTAACAATTTCTGTTTTTGTCATAATACAATCCACTACTTCATTTACAATTCAATGATAAACATTTTTTTATAAAGTACAAAAAGTTATAATTTTTTACCTCAATAGTGTTTAAACTGTATTATTTTGATATGAAAAAAATAAATTTTAAAAATATTTTAATATATTTTAGTTTAAAAGATTTAGTAAATTTTAATTTTTTATAGATAAATTCATTCAAATAACTATTATTTCAATTAATTTATTTTTAGTGATTTTGTGTATGGAAGAGGAAAATCTCCACCAGAATTATCTTTTCCTATTATGCGTCAAATTTTGAGGAAGTCAGTTGCAGCAATTTGTGCACATATTGGATTTGATTGTAAGTAATTTCTACACTATTTGCAGTGAAAATACATATAATTTCATAAAATGGTGCCTACTTTATAATCTTTTTTTTAATTTCTGCATCTAAAAAAAGTTGTAAAGAAATGAAAACTTTTAATATGCAAAAGTAGAGTTATAGAATAGAGCCAGTTGTGCAAACAAGTTTAGAAAAACTTGTGATAGAAAAAATAAAAAATATTACAATAAAATAGCCAGAAAAATTACAATAAAAACCACAAAAACATTACAATGAAATGGATTAGCATCTTGGCTAAGCATATAGACAATAATTGGAAAAATTTTCCATAATGCAGAGAAATTATATGTTTTTCTAAAGTGAAATTGGAATGTTGTTTACTCTGTTTCTGATCAGTTCAGTCACACATTATATCACTGCCTACTTACATAGTTGTGCACTTGCACTAAGGATGAGTTGGTTTTGCTTATCAAACCACAGTTTATTTAAAAAGAATCAAAAGAGAAATTCAGGTTTTATTTCAAAATTTTTTTGACACAATTTAATGAGTGTGAAATTTTGTGTCAGCTCAAAATGAAATATTCACTTTGTTTCCTACATGGAAAATTTGCAAATTAATAAACCTCATTTAAAAACTTTCTTTGAACTGTGTCAATTAAACAGCTTAATAGAACTTTTATTATCATTTTATAAACATGGTTTTTTTCTTTATCTTTCTTATTTTTTCATAGATTTATTATAAAATAAAAAATATTAAAATATCATAAAAATATGGTCAAATTTGATTTTTCTTAATAATTATTTAACCATTATTGTTGTAAATAAATTTTGCATTTTTGATCATCAAAAAGGCCATTAATACTTAATTGTTAATGCTAAAATTGGTCATTTGGTCTGTTGGTGACAAATTCAAGTTTATTTCTATTAATTAATTAATCAATATATTACATGAAGTTTATAATTGTAAATGCTAGTAATTGTCCACAAAATGCTATCCTATGATGATGACATCCTTAAAGTATTCTTTTAATTTAAAAAATTTTACATCACTGTATCAGGTGAATGTTGCACAGCAAATTATATGGTAGGCCTATTTAATTTGAATTTTCCAAACTACCTAGTAATAATTATTAATTCATTCATAAATTATTTTTTTTATCTTGTGTGCTAAAGTGCAATAATTTTCAGGAAAATTTTGTGTATTTTTGGGGAATTTTTGGTCCTGATAATATTCTGCAACCTTATGCAAAAGTGAAATAAACAAAGGACAAGCATTTCTTACTAATTTAAATAGGTTCTTCAGAATTAAACTACAGTAATATCCCGACTTGTGTGAACCCGGAGTTACGCGATTTTCAAATCTTGTTGATTCGTCTTTTATTTGCGCTCCACACAACTCTCGTTTACTCACTCCCCCACACTATTGTTCGGCTTACATGTTCGGACATGTCGCGCGGAATCGACATATAGCTAGAATTTATTTTGTGTTATTTATTTCTGTGTTTGTTATATCTACGGAGACTCGAGAGACTCTACTATGTCATCCAAACGAAGTAGAATTGATTCTTCTGCATCAAACAAGAAAAGGAAAACTTTATCTTTGGAATATAAAGTTAACATTATTAAAGATTTCGATACGAAAATGAAAATTTGTGAATTGGCAAAGTAGTTTGATCTGCTGGAATCAAATGTCAGAACAATTATAAAAGATAAAGAAAAAATTCACAAAGCTGTAAAAAATGCTCAATCTTTAAATTCAAGCATCATTCGTAAACATCATGGGATTATCCCTGAGATGGAAACAATGTTAAAATTATGGNTTTAGAAGGATACAGATACACGATCTCTAACCCGGAGGGATTAGCAGAGCTCCTCAAGCACACTGAACATCCCAGCTTTATCATGGTCCTGGATTTCCGATCACTGTACCCTTTGATCGAGATACCTCCTTGTTTTTGCAACATCAGGGACCTACTGTTTACAATCTTACGCAATGAAGAGTTCCATCAACAAGTTTTAGAGTTGTCCCATTTGATTTGTTACAGCTCGATCTTTCAATTCGGTGGACTTACGTACACGCAGGGTAAAGGGGTCCCCATGGCAGTGCTGTCTCTGGGGATCTGTGTGAGTTAGTAATCAGACAATTGGAAAACAAAATACTGCCGAATTTCCTCCAAAACATCATAACTTACAAACGATACGTTGATGACATCATTATTCTCTAGAGAGACTCTCCGAACATCACCCAATTCTTGGATCAAATGAACAACAATCCATACAGTCTTACCCTTGAGGTTGAGCAGCACAGCGACTCATCGGTGCATTTTCTGTTTGTCTTTGTTAACCTATTGCTCAAAGCAAATGTTATATATTTTGTATGTTAATTCTGTCATATTATATTCATATTTATTTTTTCTCTAATTGTAAATTAAATTTTAGTTTAGACTTAATTAATTTTTATTTAATATAAGCTTTAAATTTGTATGCATGCATGTTTCTTTAATTCTTTGCATATGATGCTCTAGATTGTAACTTTAGAATTATTGTGTTTAAATGTGAAAATGGCTACTTAAAAATACATGAAAGCATTCATTGGGCTGCAATTTGAAAAAATTGTAGTCCTATAAATCAGAGATGGGTTGGAAAACACTACATGTGCATGAGAACAATGACGAAGCACATAATGTGATTCTGTCATCATGATAATATATTGGATCTACTGTCTTATAGGGGGATCTACTGTATTTGTATGTGAAATTATACCCCGACTTACGCGAATTTGACTTACGCGGTTATCGCTCGGTTCCACCTATCGCGTAAGTTCGGGGTATTACTGTACATGATTCTAAAATTATAATCTAGAACATCCTATGCAAAGAACTAATTTTCATTTAATTTATGTAGGAATAATGATAGAAATAGAGAACTAGAAATTAATAATCTTTCAGTGTTTGTAACCATCTTGATAGAACGATAATGTTCTAGCCTTTGTAATGTCTCTAGCCTTCTAATGTCTGTAAGCTCTTTGGAATGTCATTCGTCTGACCCCCACATTGTCTCTCTCTCCTGTTCTCCTTGTCTCCCCCGCAATCCCTTGTTTATTGTCTTAATGGTTTAGGAATGTTGCTAAGTCTAAATCCCACATGTTTGAAGACTATTGTACAATTAGTTTTTATATTATGTTTGTCTTTGTGCTGCTCGACCTCAAGGGTAAGACTGTATGGATTGTTGTTCATTTGATCCAAGAATTGGGTGATGTTTGGAGAGTCTCTCCAGAGAATAATGATGTCGTCAACATATCGTTTGTAAGTTATGATGTTTTGGAGGAAATTTGGCAGTATTTTGTTTTCCAATTGGATAAGGCCAAGGCCCCTTCACGCAAATGATCGCGCCGCATTTAGAAGGATACAGATACACGATCTCTAACCCGGAGGGATTAGCAGAGCTCCTCAAGCACACTGAACATCCCAGCTTTATCATGGTCCTGGATTTCCGATCACTGTACCCTTTGATCGAGATACCTCCTTGTTTTTGCAACATCAGGGACCTACTGTTTACAATCTTACGCAATGAAGAGTTCCATCAACAAGTTTTAGAGTTGTCCCATTTGATTTGTTACAGCTCGATCTTTCAATTCGGTGGACTTACGTACACGCAGGGTAAAGGGGTCCCCATGGCAGTGCTGTCTCTGGGGATCTGTGTGAGTTAGTAATCAGACAATTGGAAAACAAAATACTGCCGAATTTCCTCCAAAACATCATAACTTACAAACGATACGTTGATGACATCATTATTCTCTAGAGAGACTCTCCGAACATCACCCAATTCTTGGATCAAATGAACAACAATCCATACAGTCTTACCCTTGAGGTTGAGCAGCACAGCGACTCATCGGTGCATTTTCTGTTTGTCTTTGTTAACCTATTGCTCAAAGCAAATGTTATATATTTTGTATGTTAATTCTGTCATATTATATTCATATTTATTTTTTCTCTAATTGTAAATTAAATTTTAGTTTAGACTTAATTAATTTTTATTTAATATAAGCTTTAAATTTGTATGCATGCATGTTTCTTTAATTCTTTGCATATGATGCTCTAGATTGTAACTTTAGAATTATTGTGTTTAAATGTGAAAATGGCTACTTAAAAATACATGAAAGCATTCATTGGGCTGCAATTTGAAAAAATTGTAGTCCTATAAATCAGGGATGGGTTGGAAAACACTACATGTGCATGAGAACAATGACGAAGCACATAATGTGATTCTGTCATCATGATAATATATTGGATACATTGGTTTTTTAAAAATATTTTTCTAGGTTTATTTTTATGCTTTTCTGATACTTTTCCTAGTTACATTGTTATTGCACAATTTCTATATTTTATGTATTTGAATTTTTTGTTTTTTCAAAATACGTTAACATTCCAAAATGCATTCCATTTGACATAGGCCTGAGGAAGATCTTGACTAGATTGAAAACGTTTGTCTTCAAAGTTATGCATATCATTAAACAGTACTGGAAACAAAAAAAGGCTCTAAGTTGAATAAGATTTTTATTAGAATTTGTTCTTTATATTTTCTCAAGAATAATAATTAAAAAATCAAACACATTCTAAGGATAAACATTTTCTGGATATTCTAAAATATTTTATAAATAAATTTTATTTATATAAAAATTAGACTTATGAAGGAAAGACTTCTCTATGATAATGAATAATAAAAATATAAATCATAAAAACAATTAAGTGTAGAAACTTAATTTTTAATTTTTTCAATAGAAATTGCATGCTAATTAAACTTAAACTAAAGGAATCAGACAACTGTTATAATACAGTAGGTGATCGGTTAACGAACAGTTCGGATTACAAAAAAATTGGATAACGAACACTTTCAGAAAAGATTTTTATGTTTGGACAAAGAACACCTCACAGAACAAACACAAGAAGAAGCAATGTAAAATAATGAATACCAATTTGTCTTCCCTTGTCTTCAGGTAACAATTTGAAACTTTTCAGAGCACAGGAGACATCGACATCGATGCTCAACCTGGTGTATACTGATCAGATAGTATTCATTCAAACTTTGAAACTCTCCCTTGTAATTCCAGCCTTTTATTTTTCTGACAGAAAGAATTTTTTTATAGTATTTGTGAGACTGTCAGGTAGGCACTTGTTAAGTTTTGCGTCGGTTTTTATTTTCAAAAGGTGAAAGTATAATAGCAGAGGTAGAGAGTGGGCAGAAGATGTCTGATGTTGCTGGGCAGTATAGCTTGAACAGATCTACAGCAGGCCACAGATCAATCTTATCTAAGAAAGATACAGTATTGTGAGATTCAAAATTTAGTTAATTTTTTAAAATAAATTTATTCCGTACCTACAAAATCGAAATATAGAGTCCTTAGGAATTTTATGTCTTAATATAAACATTCTCACGAGGAATCTGTGCATAGTTTACACTTACAGGCAGAATTCATCATATTGTTGCCATTCTATCACCACCTTTAACCCCACACCTGCTAAAACAATTGATCACCTGACTAATTTTCCCACCACAAAAAGTATAAAAGCCCTCCTCCTTCCCCTCTCGGGGGAATCGCCGATCATCGAAGTCGGACATAGCCTTCTCCATCGCAGACCTACACTTCTGTCGCAGACCTATACTTGTGTCACACCCCAGAATCCATTTGCACGATTGAAGGAAGAATTTCCCCGATATATCCTGATATATGCAAAGAGGTATGAACGCATATTTGTAAACTCTCTTTCTCCGCCATCCGCACAGTAGCAGGATAGGTTGTTATAACAACTTAGAGTAATTAGGTTTGTAATTTTTTTCCATAGATGATTGTAATAAACTCTCATTTTGTTTTTAAATGGTGTCTTTACTTGACTTACTCAACTGAGCCAATGTCTTATCGTCGACCCCTCTGACTCACCTCCACTCGTGTAACACATAACCGAACGTTAACTACCCTCCTTGACAAGAAAGTAGGTCACTGACCAACTGCCTGAAAGGAGAGGAATTCCCAACCTCCCCGGCAGCTCACAGTATAATCGAGAAGACTCAAGCAGCTTAAGGAGTAACAAAAATCACACCTGAGAAATAAAGAACATTGAAGAGCTCATAATGGAACCTGAAACTGATCTGATGAAAGAAAAATGCCAAGAACTCTTAAATGAGGAACACCAAGAAACTCAGTAAGATAAATTTTCTTCTGAAAAAGAGAATTAATGCCAATATCTGCTATTAAATATCTTTTGAAAAAGTGGGAGGATGTCAGAACAATGGTCTTAGAATGTCATCAAAACCAGGTTGAGGTTAATAGGCTTGGTGATCGCTACAATTACAATGCTATTAATTACTTTTAAAAAATTCTGAAGAAGAGAGAAAAGCAATCGACATTAGACAGATTCTTTAACCCCCACAAATGGAAAAAACATGACTAATAAAAATGTAAGACTGCATATATACGTATTTTTACTATTACATATAAATAAATGTAGTAAGAAAGCATATATTTTTTATTTTTTGGNGATTCTTTAACCCCCACAAATGGAAAAAACATGACTAATAAAAATGTAAGACTGCATATATACGTATTTTTACTATTACATATAAATAAATGTAGTAAGAAAGCATATATTTTTTATTTTTTGGAGTTTCCAGAACGAATTAATCAAATTCCCATAAAAACCTATGGTAAATCAATAATTGGTTAACAAACAATTCAGATAGCGAACAAAGTCTTAGAATGGATTATGTTCATTAACCGATCACCTACTGTTTCTTATTACAGTCACAAAGAATCATATATATGAAGAGTTTTATACCAGTATCATACTTACAATATTTTTAAGAGTATGAATATAATAGTTTCTTGGCTGTGCAAAACAGTTAATGCTAAACCCGCAATTCCTGCTTACTATGCGGATGCATTGCCAGTTATACTACCCAGATCTTCGGTCTGATCTCCTCTTCCAGTATATATAAGCTTAAGAAATAACCATCAACATCTATTACGGTGCCATCTGGGGACCCCCCATTGCCCTCTGCCAGAAACAGCCATTCAAGGCACTCAGTCAGCCATCGCATACCCGGCAAGGCACAGATATACAAATATAAACATCCACTGGTTTCTATGGGTGTTTATATTTATATAAGTTAATGTTGAATTGTTATTATATTCATTAATGAATTTGTATTGTTTTTAATTCTTTTCAGCTGCAACAGATACAGTATTAGAAACTCTAACAGATATTGCTCATGAACATAATTTAAGGATATGTCGTCTTCTCAGGATGGGTGTGGATAGACAAGCTTTGACAGGATATACTGGATTTATAGTAAAGTATCATATAAAAATAAATTTTTAATCAGTTAAAATTTATAAATTTAAATTCAATATTTTATAGGATGTAATAGAACAAGTTTTTCATGAAGCTGGCATTGGTAGCATAACAACATTACACAATTTTTATCAATCTAGAATGATTGATTATCATAAATTTCTGTTTCAAACTTGTCAACAACTTTTAGAAGAATATGAGAGATTAAGAACTCCAGAAATGAAAACAGATCTAAGTTCTAAACCTATAAAGTGAGTAACTTTATATTGAAATATGTTATAAAATTTAAATTTTTTCACTGCACAACACACAAGGAGTAGAATTGTGTCACTGCAATATTGAAGTGGGTGAATGTGTGGTTAGATTTAGGTTAGCACTTTTTACTTAATAATGTTTGATATTTTCTATTAAATTAGATGATTTGCTTATTCATATCACTGCACTAACCTAAACCTAACTGCATATTCAGCAATTCTCATATTGCATTCATGTCATGTAATGATGTACTGCTACTGCTTGTGTTGTGCATTGAAGTACAGTTGTTAAAAATAATTTTCTCAACTCAGAGGGCTCTGGAGCATATTCTACTGCTTGAAATGAAACATTTGGACAACAGATACTTCAGATGATACACTTGTCATTTATTAAAAATTTTAAAGTCTGATAGTTGCACTGGAGCTATGCAACTGAGGCCTGAACCTGTGTTCATTATCAGAGAATGGTATCTTAATGTGCTGATGACTTTTATGATCCAGAGCTTCAACAATGAGGCTGCCTTCAGGATACTATTTCATGCAAGATGATGCACCATCCATGTCTCTTGCCCTGTTCAACATGTGTTTGTGTTAAGGCAGACTTCACAGATGAACAAGTGATCAGTGATTATTTTCCAACAGCTTGGCCTCCTCACTCATTGGAACCATTGTAATATCTGGTTATGGGATTTCTTTCAGATCTATTGTGAAAGATTTACAGTATATCTGTGTAAGATCTAAATGACATCATTCATTGGCATGTTCTTGTGATTTAAAGCAAACTCATTGTATTCAGTGGTGGAAAACATGCTTTTGTGAATGGAGAACATTGTTGAAAATAATGGCAAACATAGTGAACATTTATAACTGTGATTTGCACAGCTTTAGCACTACCTATCAATGACTTTTTGTATGAAAAATTTTTATTTAATAAATAGAGAGCATATTATCTGAAGTACCTGTTGTCCAAATATTGTTTCATTTCAAGCAGTATAACACACTCAGAGCCCTCTGAGTTGGGAAAGTTATTTTTTAACAGTTCTGTATTTACCTGTCACATTTGACAGTCTATTCCAGGATCCCACTTGATATTTTGGAATGCACTAAAAAGTAATTATATGTACTTTTTCTTGTGCTACAACTTTCTGATTGATAATATTACTCTATTCATTAGGGCTGATATTACAACAGTTCTATCTGATAGAAGGGCTGGAGTGGATAAAAATGTGCATCATTGTGTAGTGCATGCCCAACAAATGGTCCACAGTGATCATCTTATTAGTTTTTGAAATAATTGGCAAGAGAGGATTTTGTTACCATCCTCTATAGAAAGAGAATGATTAGAGTTAAGTCTGTTCCAGCAACAATTTTTATTTCTCAAATGTTTTTAGCTATCTTAATGGCCATTGTTACAATCAAACATATATGTAATAGAATTCTTTTAAAATTTAAATTTAATGTTCTTAACAGTGTTCTGAACATGATTCTATAGTAAATAACTAAAATAACATAAAATACAATTCATAATTTTTTTTTGTATTTATGAATTGTATTTTGTTATTTAGTTTATTTACCATAGAATCATATTCAGAACACTATTAAGAACATTAAATTTAAATTTTAAAAGAATAATAATAACAAAGAAAGCATAAAATACAAAAACAGTGATGATAATTCGCCACAAATTCAATTGAATATATCTGATTGAACAGAAAGTTCTTGCACTTTTTAGAACTTTCTAGAATAACTTTTTTCTGGAACATCCTAGAATGTTCCTTGGTAGTATATAAACAGGTCGGGGTACATGCTATAAGAAAATACCAAATCCAGTCCTCTTACTCTATCATGGCCAACCAACATCCGCTAACCAAAGAGCAAGTTCACCTGCTCCTTATTTATGACTATTGTTCCAAAAAAAGCAGCCAATTCTATCACTGACATCAATGCTGCATTAGGCCTGGACACTGTTGCCAGAACTGCATACAATTGGTACGAACACTTCAAAAGTGGAGATCCCTAACCGAAGAAGATCATGCTCTCTTTCTTCTGGAATTCTAAAGGAATCCTCATGTTCTAGTTGCTGCCGCAAAATATAACCACCATCAACGCAACTTTCTGCTGCAAACAACTCGATGTCCGCAGCAGAAACTGGAGACTCGCCTGAAACACCAGAATACTATCCTGCTGCATGACAATCCATGGCCACATACATCTAGGCAGATCTACCAGAAGCTACTGGACCTGAACTGGGAGGTCTTGCTCCATCTGCCATATAGCCCTGACATTGCACCTTCAGATTACCACCTGTTCGCTGCACTCAACCATCACCTGGCTGGCAAGGAGTTCAACAATGAAGCCAACTTGGAGGCCAGCCTGAACAACAAGTCGCAGCCAGAGTTTTATCGAGATGGCATCCATTCCTTGCATAAGCAGGAAGTGGTCAACAACAATGGTGATTATATTGATGATTGAAGTCAATTCTGTATGTAAATTTTCTTGCCTAAATGAAATGCGTCCAAATGTGTGAGAACTTTCTGTTCAATCAGATACATAATAATAAAGTATAATTACATAATGTAAAGCATGTATAAGAAATGAACCTTTTTGTAAACACCGGAGGAAATACAATTCACCACACCCAAAAACCTTTGTAACTCCAGTGATATGAGTTTACACACCAGAGAATGTTTTCGACCCCATCTGGGTCTTCATCAGGCTACGGTTATACGGAATTCGAACACATGCAGAATGGAACAACAAAACTAAACGAATGCTATTCAAACTTTAGAAAAAACCAAATTTAAGAATAAAATGGAACATTACCCATGTGCCGAAACGTTTCGCAAACGTGAAGTGGCGCATGCTTAACTGTCATTTTGGCACTGGGTAATGTTCCATTTTATTCTTAAATTTGGTTTTTTCTAAAGTTTGAATAGCATTCGTTTAGTTTTGTTGTTCCATTCTGCATGCATTCGAATTCCGTATAACTGTAGCCTGATGAAGACCCAGATGGGGGTCAAAAACGTTCTCTGGTGTGTAAACACATATCACTGGAGTTACAAAGGTTTTTTGGGTGTGGTGAATTGTAAGCATATAGTTTTGACCTCATCTTGGTTTACAACATACTTCCAAGCAAGTGGAATTCTTATGATTAATACACAAATTTTTAATACTAAGTTTGTATGTAGTTATTTTTTTAGGGATTTTTTCCCATTTGTTGATCCCTGATGGTTTTTAAGAGGTTAGTGTCCATGAAGTGTGGTACATATTCAGGAACCGTTTCCATAATAGCCAGCTTCATGATGTTTTTCCCTTTACGTATGTGGTATTGATGTTCCTTGAGCCTGTAGGAAGGTTTCAGGATGTCTGCTTTATATATTTGCTGACTTTGTTTTCTAGACCAGTAGTGAAGGATATTTCATACACTCCTGGGGTTATAGTAGGATTGGTAGGTCCTTTGTTATAAGTTACTGGTGCAATCCTGGGTGGAGTAGGTTTATCTTCTTTGAGGGAGTCTTCTGTGGTTGTGTATATTAACTAAGGCATTGATGGTGTATTAATTGTATCTATGAGTGGCTGCTATGTTTCTTATCCTGTTCAACTCCTTTAAGGTGTCCCTTATGTCTGTGCAACGTGTATAAGCTCTTGATAAAGGCTTTGAAAGCCACCATTTTGTCTGGGAGGATCGTTGGGATGTTGGTTTATCATGTACATTTGTGCCTATTTCCCAATTTATTAGAATGATGTTTAGATCTAGGAAGTGCATTTTTTTATTACTGAATTGGTCCAGGGCTATTTTTAATCCATTGGAATTGCTATTGTGTTGATAAAGTTTTGTATTTTCGGTTTTGTTTCATATGATCAGCACATTGTCTACATAATACCTATATAAAATATTATTTTGGACTTTAGGAATAAAAAGAATAGATTTTTTTAAGAAAAATCAGGCATTAATATGATCCCTTTACAATAATCAAACACAAATTCAAGACTATATTACATAGGGGCTATAAACAGAAAACTTTCATACAGATCAAGGAATGTCATAAACAACAAACATACTACAGAATCATCAAAAATTTATTGGATCTTAACCATATATTTTTGAGCCAAAACATCATTACTCAATGTGTTGAATACAGATCTATTTTCATTTGGAAATCATTATACATTTCTACATTAGAACTATTTAACAATCCTAGTTTAGAAATCTCAGGCATATGGATCACACTATTTAAGCTTTTAAATGATTAAGTATTTGGTGCAAAGTATTGAACTAAATTTATAGTTTTGTTATTTTTTTTCATAAGTGTCATTCTTATTTTATTTTCAATTTCTTTTAATTTATATTATTGATTATTTTTATCATTCTTTTATCTGATTTTAAAATCATTATAATTTCAATATCTTCATTAATATTTGCAAATTTAAATGTGTTATTTTTTGATCAAATGAGTTTTTATAAAAATATATATATTTTTAAATATTCTGTCTTCAGGTAGAAGTACTTGTTTTTGTTATTATGAAAGTGATAATTCCATTATCAGTAAATAATTTTAACAGGAAAGTCAGTATTGTTTATTTTGTAGATTCCAGAATAACTAGAATGTGAATATGTTACTAATTAGTTAGTGTATGAAAAGAGGAAAAACGTTATGTACAAGTGAAAATTAAAGAAGTCTGTCAAACACAGGCAAAAATAACTGAATTTTGTTTTAATGATATCCTATATCCTATACTATCAATAACTTTTTCTTTTTTGTTACAATTCTGATATCTGAAAGTAAATATAAACTAGTATACGATATACAGGTTTTTTTTTTCATTGGTTTGCTTATGTGAAAATCTGACAAGATGTGGAAAAAATGCAAAATCTAAATAATGGCATAATGACTTGATAAAAATATACAGGTAATCCCCGTATAACACAGCATTTCTATAGCATGGATTCACTCTAACATGGTTTGAGAATTGGGTAAAACCCTCATACAACATGAAATGTAATAAATTTTCACATACTTAAGTACTAATAGTTTGTGAAAATTATTATTTTTGTGAACTGTTAGTACTGTACTTAAGTATGTAAATTTTCTTTTCCGCCTTCTGTTGATACATGTAATCCTTCTCAAAACTTGTTTCAGTGTTGCCAGATCTCAACGCTTCTGATTTTGTGTTGCCAGATGTTTTCCCTTATTCCATACTTGCCTTATTCTTCATAAGTGCTTAGCACCATATAAGGAAATTTATAAAGATCTTTTAGCTAAAAGCAAGCAATCTAAAATAACATCTTTTGCAAAAGGTAGAGCATGGATCTGAAATAATGCAGAAAAATGCTCAAAGGATAAGATATCTTGCCAAAAAGAAAATGCCCTCGGTTAATAGTGCTTAGTGGTGACGAAGAAAACATTGTTTAATTTATATCAATATGTATCGTTTAAGAAAATTTAATAAAGATATTTATCTTAATTATGAAAACATAATAGCATGTTTTTAATTTTTGGAATCTAACCCCTCTTTTTGTACTAGTTCTTTGTTTCATATAACATGGATTCGCATAACACGGCAATTTTTTGGAACATAACTCCCGTGTTACATGGGGTTACTTGTATATATTTAATACAAAATTTAATATGAATAATAACTTTAATACAAAAAATATATATAATGCACAAAATAACAATTTTTTTAAAAAACACAAAGGAACATTTAATTCACAAATCCCATCAACAAGCTTCAGTTCATAAATCTATATTATGCATTCTAGAATTTTCAATATTTAATTAATTATTAAAATAATAAACTTATATTTGCTAGAATAATTGTTTAATCATTTATTTGTTACTAATTGTTAAGTTTGAATAAGTTGTTGTTATTTTTTTTTTTAAATTTAAGAATAAAAGATGAGCCAATGTCAGAAATAAATTTTCCTGTGAATGAAGAAATTGAGGAAAGTGCAATGGATGAACCTCATACACCTTTGCAACTAGAAGAACTTCCAAGTGCTTTACAAACTTTGGAAACCGAAGGTTCTGCAACTATGAAAGACGAAGAAAATATGAAATGGCCTGGGCAGAATGTTAAAAAAGAAGGCTCGTAAGTTATTGATTCCATGAAGTTAGTCTTTTAATACTGTTTTAATAACCTGTGTGAAATTTTATTAATAATAACTTCACTAATATAATTCTTACCAAACTGACAAATTCTAATTACCTAACAAGATTTACTCCTAATAAATTACCAGTGAATCTACTCCTAACCTTGATCCAGATGATGAGATTGATGGTAGTGATTCTCCTACATCTTCAATGGTTAGTGACATTGATATGTCTTCACAAGGCATAAATTCTATCGGAGTTACTGACATATCCCCTGGTATTGAATGCACTCGTATTGGAAAACCCCCAAAGAAAAAGTAAGTTAGCATATGTAATTCTTACTTACAGTTATTTGCATGTAGAATGCATTTGTTTAATTCTAATAGTTTTTGTCTATTAGAAATTAATTATTTGTTTATAAAGTAATAAAACTAATATATTTTTGTAAAATGTTTAATAAAAATTAAATTATAACTTTTGTAATTGTACATTTTGATAGGTATAAAGCATTCTGATATATTATCTACAAATATAGAAAAATTTAGATGCATGCAATATTAATGTCAATATCTATTCTATTTGAAATAGTAGAACAATTTATGAATAAACTATATTGATACAATATTCATTACAAATAATTCAGAAGTTAGCTAAAGGATTATATAGATACATAGATGGATTTATTTTTTATAATCACTTTTTAATGAAACATCAGTTAATATATAACACATAAATAAATATAATATTTTCAGAATTTTTTAAAGTTATTTATTTATTCAATATAAAATATTTTTAAAGTTTTAATGACACATTATAGATAGATTCACAAAATATTATGAGAATCATTATTATTTCTTTCACTATAAATTAGTCAAGAAATGAGAATAATGTTGAAGAATATTTGGATGATGATACATTTTGTATGTTTTCTATTAAAAAAATATTGAAAATATAGAAATTGATTTTATGGTAATAACTAAAATTCATTAATATAAAATATGCAATATAAAAGACATTTAATATTATATTAAAGATTAAAAAGTTTTAAAATGTAATTAAAAACACAAATTTCAGAAAAAATTTAGTATTAAAATTAATTTCCTTTTTAATAATCATATTGATAAGAGCATACAAGTGAAAATTTCATCAACTCTGTAAATTTGTAACTTTCCTTCTTATTGATCATCAATTTTTTCTGTTACAAAATCAAGAGGTCAAAAGTGGCTCAAAAACATACATATAGATATAAATTTAGGGGCTGTCCATTAATTAACAGTTATATAAAAGAAGATAGAGAATTTATTTGATTTTCCAAATGGTTCAAAATATCCAACTTAAGTTTTGTGAAGAAAGGAATATTCTCAGATCAATATAAAATTAGATTCTAGAAATATTGATGATTTTATTTAAAAATAAGCCTAATCAATAATTTGTAAATAATGTATAACTATTAAGATTTGACAGTAGGCATTTGACAGTATAAAAATATTTTTTGATTGAGAATCAATTATCTATTATATCTGATTATAATATATGTAGTTTTTCTCATCATAAGATAAAAAAACTAATTTGGATGATGATTCAAATTAGGAATAGGAATCAGTTTCTTCAACATCACTTTAAAATCAGTTTGACAATTTTATCATCTTTAATCATATTAAGAACTATAATACAGAAGTGGACTCCAACCATTTAATATGAGAAACTTTTATCATACAGGCGTTAAATTACAAACAAATGTCCATTTTTAACGACCTGATGAAGACGAAAATAATTATCTTCGAAAGCACTTGTCGGTCTAGCGACATTTGTTTGCAATTTAACGCCTGTATGATAAAAGTTTCACACATATTAAGAACTTTTCATTGCTTGAATATTGCCATTTTGATGGTATAATAAAATTGATATAATCTAAAATGTACTGAAAACATTTCAAGTCTTTAATACCAAAAGAAATGACGTAACAATTAAAATTTTTATTTCTAGTATTCTGTATAAATTATCAAATGTTTAGCACTTGAATGATTTTAATCTCTAATGATCACTTTTTACTAAGTTTGTCAATTAAATCCCAGGAGTACATAAATTTTAAGGAAACTACAAGTTTGAATAAGAATGAAAAAGTTTTCATATATGTGATATTTTTGAAGAACCAATGCATTTTTGTATTTACTTGCAGAACTGTTGGGAATATTTTTAAAACTCATTTAAATTTATTGGTGCCAAGTCATTTGTAAAATTTGCATTTAATGCCTTTTATATTATCTTTCAAAAATCAAATTAATGCTAAAAGAGAACAAGGAACAATATGTAGAAGATAAACCAGCAGGATAACAGTATGGTTTAATTCTAAATTTTATCAAATCTTTCTCTAATGTCATTGCACAGTGAGACTGTGTGTTACTGTGTAACAGGCACCAAATTCTTCAAAAAAAACATCTGATTAAAAAATTCATCTTTTGAAAAGGCATTTGACAGTTAATTAATTAATGTTGTGATTTTTCAAAATATGAGGGCAGGCTGAAAAGTAATGCACATATGCTTGTAGAACATGAACAAAAACAAATAGCAATATCGGGCAAAAAGTACATTAAAGTATAATTTTTAAGCTTCAAAATCATATATTTATTTTTCAGCATAGTCACCATTAAGGCTAACAAATTTCTCCCAACGTGTAACAAGTTTTTTCATTCCGTCACTGAAAAATTCTTTTGACTTTTCTTGAATCCAGGACTTGACAGCTGCCTTCACCTCATTGTCTGAGGTGTAATGATTATCCTTGAGGTCTCTCTTGAGTAGAGGAAACAAATAAAAATCAGAAAGCGCAAGATCGGGGGAATAAGGAGGGTGTGGAATCGGTTCAAACTTCAGGTTTCGCAGAGCCTTTCCAGTTGTGCGCGAGGCGTGTGGATGAGCATTGTCATGTTGCAAGATTATTGGTGCCAGGCTGCCTCTAACATGTCAAACTCAATGTCAGAGGTGTTTTAGAGTCTGTATGTACTGAGAAGAATTAAACATTGCAACAAGGTGCAACGGTAATTGTCTGTGGCAGTGATCGGACTTCCGCTGCATGTTTCATCAACAATTATGGCTTTTCCAGGCTCGCAACCACGAAATTTTATTATCCATCAATTTACAATAGACCTATCAACAGCATCGTCATCATAAACAGCCTTTAAACGTAATTTTTTCAGCAGTTAAAAATTCGATAACAGCACGCTGTTTAACTCGCATTGACATAGCATCAGAACATGTCTCCATATTTCTGCTTCTCAAAATATTCTTAATGAATGCAACAACTTCAAACTGTGCATGCACATAAAGGGGGAATGTTACTTCCATATGTCACCTGGCATGCTTCTGAAAATCATTTTGTTTGTACTCTATAAGCATGTGTGCATTACTTTTCAGCCTGCTCTCGTATTTTGCAATTCAAATTGTTGGTTGTCCATTGCATTTTTTACCTTCAGAATTTAGTCATTACAAATCTTGTGCTATTTTTTTAGCAACATGCAAATGAAAAATAAATGTATAATAGTGACTTAGGGCACTCAAAAAAACACTGTTTACAATAGAACCATAGACCAAAAAAACAACACACTATATTGTTTCATATAAACAATTCAGAATATTTAATATTTGATAGGAAACTTGTCACATAGACATTTTTGTTTTGCTATTTGATTCCACAGCAGTAAATAGAAGCTACTTCTAAGAAGCCTGTTATTAGTCATCAGTAAATGAAATATGCATGAAAATGTTAACATTATTTTTGATTGCAAGTAAACAGTAAGAATGTTTGTGAATCTACTTAGAAAGTTGTAAGATTAATACAACTTTATGAGCTGATAATTCAATATAACTTTTACTTTCAAAAGTTCTAAGTCTCAAATATGATCAACATGTTTGTTGCAATCAATACCAATATAAGCTTTTAATATGTGATTTCCTTCCACAATGTTTTATAGGCATCTTTTATAGGATTCTGATAAATGTTAAAAATTGGCATGTCCATAGTTTTGATATTGCCAATAAAAAATTTATATAGAAAAATATAACAAATTATTGCTCTTATTATTAAAATATATTTGAAAATAGAAAGTAATCATATAAGGTAAACCATCTTTGTATACAAATCTACTGAAAAGTTCCAGGAATTAAATTTTTTTTATTGAATTCAATTGATCCTTTATGTAACAATTTTGCTGATTTTATTTTCAACATATCCTCTTCTTTTGATACATAAATGGATTGTTCCAAAAGTCTCTCAGTTGCCCTAGGGAAGTTTTTCTGGGATGATGTTCAGGTATGTTATTGCTATTCTATGAATGTGTGGAGTGGACTCATATAATGTTCCTTTCAGGGTGCCTTGAGTTTTGGGAAGAGAAAAAAATCTATTTGGATGAGTAAGGGATGCATTATTGTTGTCACCTAGTGTCTAGCCAGAAACAATAGCAATGGTCCAGGTGTGTGTTGGAACATTGTCACAAAGAAGGAACAATCTCCACTTTGAAATAAATTGGCCAAATTTATTTTGCTGAATTTTTGTTCTCATAGAATAAGACAATTGTTTTCCTTCAGGCATAAATTCACAATGGTTAATCCCATGAGAATCAAAGAACACAATGGGCATCATTTTGATTTTTGGCTTCAAAGTCCTTGCCACCTTTGGTTTTGGCTTTCCCAGACTTGACCATTTTCTCGCTTGTCATTTTGTTGATGTCATATTCAAAACACCATGATTCATCACCAGTAATTATCTTGGTGCTGAGGAAATCTGGATCACTATTCATTTCCACCAAGTTTTGCAAAGTAATCTTTCACTGTTCTGTTTCAAAGTGAAAGTATGGGATAAACTTAGCATTCTTTGTAATGTTCTTGACAAAAGAAAGTATACACTATGCACTAATATCCTATTTTGCTGTCTTTGACATGCTAATTGACAATCCTTAGCCAGAAGTTTCCTAACACACTACATTTTTCTTAGTGTTACTAGTGGAAGAGTATTTGCTGTTTCATTGTCCTCCAATGACTTGACTATTATGAAAACATGAATATCATTCAACACCCTTGACTGGGAGAAACATTTATATATACTGTATGCTATTTTCATCAGTTTGTAATTTCTGAAGCAGATTTCTCACATTTAAAGCAAAATATGATGTTGACCCTTTGTGTTCTGTTCTCTAACATGTGACAAAAAATTCATCACAGCCAAAGCAAAACTGATGAAAAAATGGCAATTGCTTACTGAGGCTCCTGGGAAATACTGTATTTTGTGTGTCGCTTGAGTGATGATATGTGCAGTATTTAAAAGAAAAAAAATCATTTCTGGACAAACTATAAATTTTGATTTTGTTTTTGATTTATTATTTTTTGAATCTATATCATACAAATTGCAGTTATGGTTTAAAGAAATTATCTTAAATATATATTTACTTTTGAATGATTACAACTGTAGAATTAAACAGGTTTTATAAAATTACATGATTCATTTAAAATGAATTTCATTGCTTTATGCATATTTAACTTAAAAAATTACTAATCATATGTTTCTTTTTTTATTTTCAGGAGGAAAAAGATGTAACCTGAATTCTTTGTGAAATAATAATAAATAAAATCTACAGACTATTCTTTTATTATTATACAATTTTACATTCAAAAATTATTTACACAATATTTTTTACAATTTAACCTGTCAAATATTTTCTTCCAAAAAACTGAGTTTTCTTTTCAAATACAGCAGATTTAATTGGAGAATTATGTTCATAAAAAGGGTTCATAGCGTGCTGTTAAGAAATTTTTAAAAAATTAATTTGAAAAAAAAGTTAAATATAACTAAATAAAATAAATTTATTTACCTTTATATATAATTCATATATTTCAATGAAAAAATTCTTTATTCCATCTTCATTCTTTGTATCATGAAGCATTAAAAATCTCATTCTTAAGATTAATTAAGAAAATTATTTTAAATATAACAACAACATCATTACATGCATATCTAATATCAAATATAACGGAAGACTGAAAAGTTCACACTGTTGAACACAAACAATTTATATATTTTTCTTTAATAAAAAATAAATATAAATCATTTGTATAATTATTATTTTTTAATCTCACAACTCTATACATTTACTCAAGTGGTGTTTTAGTTTCTTTATACCCTCACAGAAATGCACTTCTTGTAACCCTTTGAAATTAATATTGACAGCTGATATTAGTTCATTATCAGAACTAAATTTTTTCTCTCCAAGAAATGATTTTAGTTCAGGAAACAGATAAATATGATGGTGCCAAATCTAATGAGAAAGGGGTTTCAGCCACACAGACTACTACTAATTTTTGGGTAATCGTGGACATGCACATTTTCCTGTGAAACATCACTTTTTTCTTTTTTGTTCCAGGTCACTTTTCAGTGATAGCTACCTTTAATTTATCCAAAGTGTTGCATATTTTTTTTAAAATTAAAAGATGGTTGTCACACTGCTGGGCTATGTACAATTTTTAATGTCAAAATAATTGCTCATTGTTCTTCATTTAGTGGTCTTTTAACCAGATACCTTTTGCATCCCAAAAGATGCCATGACCTTTCCTGTAGATAAAATTCTTGCTTTTTTGGTGTAGATTCTCTACATTTTTCCACAATTTTGACTGTTGTTTGGATTCTTGTATTATACCATATTTTTGCAGAATTGACCAGCATGCCAGTCTATCCAGGGGAGACCAGGAAACCGGATATTTCCATATGGTAAAAGGCAGTTTACTGGTTTAAGTGAGGTTATAGATCCCTCTCTAGAAGGCACATTAAAAAAAAAGAGCAAGTTTTTATTTTAAAACTGTGAAACTGTCAGCATTGCATCAAAAACTATGATTATATGATTAATTTCTTCATTCTGTCTCCTTTCTAACAATGTAAAATACTCTTGGAATTCTGAGTGCACTTTTTTTGTGTATTTTATTGTTATTTGATTCAAAAATGCAAAAATAAACATTAAATTTAAGAAACTTTTGTAAATTATCTCAGCTTACACCATTAACATTGGCTTTGTGAAATTTGAGAGGAAGGTGTTATTTTTAAGGTTAGGGTAGATGGTCAGTGTAGGCCACACTGACTGACCTACTACTACAGTACTACTACTATTACTACTACTACTAAATAAGTTGTTAATTGTTTTACTGTCTTGTAAACGAAAACTCTCTTCCTGATTTTAAGTCTGTCAAATTACAATGTTATTATTTTATTGTACTCAGAAGAATGTTTGCTTTAATGTTTAATTAACAACTAGTGTGAGAACTGAGGGGGTATGACTATGTCATACTTCCGTGGATTGGCTTTCAAGTCGGAGGGACTTGCTCACTTGTCAGAGATGGCTTAAATTTTAAGTTTATCCCAAGGGAACGGGACAAATTTTTTTTTCTGGTCTGGTCGAGTGTAGGAGGAAGGACTGCCGTCGGTAAGATGACAGGCGATATATGAGTAAAAGAGAACACCAATTTAACAAGGAAACAACAATTTATTAGCTACCTATATAGACGGTACAATAACTATTACCAAGAGAAAATTCTGAGTCCCTAAAATGCGAAGGGCCAAGAGAGAGTTCACAAAAATTTGTTCCATACCTCTTTATGTTGATAGTTATCCTTGAGGAAAATATTATTTTATCCAACATGTTAGGACCAGGACACAATATTCAAGGAAATTGTAGGTGACGGTTGATGAACGACTCCCCTGAGAGGGAGAAGCAAGTGACTTTTATAGTTTTGTCGTGGGAGAATGGTCATGTGATTAATTGTTGTGAGGTAAAAGGTACGTGGATGAGTCAAAGTTGTCCCCGGGACCATGCTAACCATCAACTTTGGAGTTGGAATGTGGGATTATTTTCGAAGTGGACGAATGTTTACTTTGAATGAAAGGGGAGATTGGAATTTCTCCCTTTTTTAAGTTAGGTTTTAGCTTAGGATTTAAAGAAAAATTTAATTGAGGGTTTAGGAAAGATACAGGATATTAATTGGAAAAATCGGTAAAAATTCCGGATTTCACACTAGTTTTGTTAGATATGATTAATTTTATATTTTAGTGGCAGTTTAACCAGCATTCTGGTCTCCCTTGTTTTTTGTGGCATGCCAGTCATACCACGAAACTACGGTAATGAATCAGTTTCATCAGTTGTTTTAAAGTAATGCAAGAAATTGATTGGATTTTTGAAAAACTTCCAACAGTGAATTTGTTTTTGTTTGTTTATGAGCAAGCTTGGCACCCATCTTACAGTTAACTTGGACATGTCCACTTTGTGTAAAATATGAAGTACCCATTCCTTTGAGATGTCCAAAGCTTCTGCTGTTTCTGAAGTCTTCAATCACCTATCTTTTAAAACCATTTCTGGCATTATAGTCATTTTTGGTTGTCCAGATCATGAATCATCTTCCAAATTGTTATTTACCATTTTTGTACTGTAGTCTAGGAAGGACGAGACTCACCCAATGTAGCCTGTATATCATAAACTTCTTTAATGGATGCTTGATTTTTCATAAGGTATTTGATCACTGCACAGTGTTTGATGTTCTCTATTTCTTTTTCCCTCCACACTAGCTACTAATGTCCATTCAAACTGGCTGCCAGATACAACTCAATTTAAAAATTTTTTTATTGTTACATGCCAAAATATAAATGGTCAAATTGCCCAGACCAAAAATAATAATTATATCAGCCAATGGCCAATATAATTGTTATTTCAAATATCAGATTTTTTTTATTTGCCTGCCTCTATAAGAAATCATATGAACTTTTCAATCCACCCCATAACCCAATTCTCTGTTTTTCATCAAGTATTTCACAATAAAACAACACTATAGAAATAGATTAAAGATATCAAATTATACATTATTACTTATGTTTTCTAATTGTAGAGAATTTAGAATGAAAAGGAAAAGCCCAAAATGAACATTGTTCTTTGTTCTCATTTTCCTGAAGATTGAGATGACTCAAAAATACTTGAAAGCTATGCAATGGTTATTTATATACTCCATTAAAGCACATCTAATACTCTAATTCAAATTCATTAATTCTCACAAAATAATTGATTTAAATAAAAACAAATGAGTTAGAATGAATATCAGTATGATCATGAACTCAAATTTTTTCCTAAAATCATAATTGTTTATATATAGAATTTTATGCTGTAAAATTGGACAGTCTATATTATATCTTAAAAGTTTATTTAGTATTTTTACATCACAATAATTTTATTTATATTCTAATGTTGTCATATTCAAATTTAATAACAATCCTCAATCTATTCAATGATAATTAATAGAATTTCTATATTTTACAAAATTAAGACAGATGGCCTCTATTTCCTCATTTTTCAAATTGCTTTATAAAATTCTACACTGGCAAAACACATTCCAAAACAAACCTCACTACAGTAATACCTCGACTTACGCAAACCCAGTGCTATGCGATTTTCAAATCTTGTCGATTCATCTTTTGTTTGAGTGCCACACAACACTTAATTACTCACTCTCCCCACACTATTGTCAGTTTACATGTTCAGATGTGTCGCGCAGAATTGACACATAGCTACAATTTATTTTGTGTTATTTATTTCTGTGTTTGTTATATCTATGGAGCCTTGAGAGACTCTATGTGGTGATTTCTTGTAACCGTGAACGAATCAAAAGACAAGATAAGTTTAATGAGAACATTTATTAGCTTACATACATCCGACTTGGAGTTTACACAAATTGCAAAATTATACCCCGACTTACACAAATTCGAGTTACGCAGTTATTGCTTGGTCCCACCTATCGCGTAAGTTTGGGGTATTACTGTATTGCATAATATAAATGGATTATTAAAAATGTTAAGAAATCTCTAAAAAACCTAATCATTTATTTATATTCCTTACAACAGGAGCCACCAAACCGGATCCAGCCCATGGGCTAGATCCGGTTTGGTCCATCACCACAAAATATAATTATTTATATGGAAATATCAAAGTTTGTAGATAAACTTACTATGGTCCAATCTGATTTTTGCATCTGACAATAATATAATTTTTAGGAAAATCAGCAAAATAAAAAATTTGGCGACTTTTTTTGTAAATACCTGCAATAAAGTTTCTAACAAAAGTGATTAAGAGCTTGCTGCAGCTATTGTGATTGTGTATTGGTAAATAAATAAGTTGGTTGTCTTTATTTTTTGTGTATTCAGTGTACTGTACTGAATAAAATGATTATTTGGCCCATACTTGTCATTCTCTCAGTTATCTGGCCCACTGTGAAAAAAGTTTGGTGACCTCTGCCTTACAATAACACATGTTTTAAAGCAAAGTTATCTAATAGTCAATCCTAGAACCATGTGATACTGAGTTTTCCATAAGAACTGATTAGGTGTATGAAAAGAAAAGCATTACAGTATTTGGATTAATCAGTTCTCAGAGCAACATTGTTGAATTTTCTGTCTATATATAAGACACAATCAAAAAGTTTCTATTCTTGGCATTGGGTTTGCACTGTGTGCGATCTGTACATGGGTATTGTGGTGTAACAATAACTACAGAATATGAAGATTGTTTTGAAGTACAGTTGTCACAGGTGGTGGTAATAATTATTAACTTTTTTCAATTACAGATTCTGCAACAAATTTTAAATCCATCCAAAGCAGACCAGTGGACAATGATACAAATTGTTGGCCAAAGGTTCTGGCCATGTGATGATTCATCAATGGACAATTACAATTTATCAAGATATCTGTGAGTGGCATCTCTGTAAACAACAATCATCCATAGATGAATCTGTACGATTGGACTCTTCATCTGAAAGAAACTGTTATCACTGTTATTATGCTTATTGGTCTGCTTTGGACAGATTCTGAGGTTATACTAAACAGATTACACATGCAATGGAATCTCTATTCTCTAGTCTTTCATCAGCAAGTGTTTCTGAT